GTTCAATTTCAGGTTAAACATAGACTTTACCAAGAACATGTGCTTCCTTGAAAGTCTTGATCACCAGATGATTCCACGGTAAATGGGATATGTTGTTCTGTCACAGCAATTTTACACTGAAATAATTCTGATTATTTTATTGAATGTTACTTTTTCATATATTAGTGAAACTGAGGAGAGATTTAGCTGCAGTATCACTCAGATGGCAGGGAATTTGTTTCCTAATCAGAAGTTTTACTTTATCCATGTGATTTGTTGTAATGTCGACTTTGCAACATTCGATCAGAGGGGGGGAGCTTTTTAATATAGGTTTGTGTTTATATAGACAGCTTCCTAAGCTCGAGCAAGGTATTCTCCACAGAAGGGTCTGTGATTCTTTCTCCATGGGTTAACTGTTACAAGCAATCAAAATGGTGGACATGTATTTCCTGGTATGTCTTTGAGTATGATTCAAAAGAAGAGAGTAATTTGAGAACCAGCATGACTAATGTCTATATAAGCTTCACATATTTTTAAATTTCAAGGATAAATACACAGGCATAATGTAAGTGAACTTTTAAAAAGTGTGCACAAGATTTCTGGTGTTGTTGAGAATTATAAGTACCTGTCTAAGATACAGTATGTGCAAAAACATACTTTTTCTTTCTCCATACAATTTTTAAAGCCAGTGTGTTTTTGTACTCAGAACCAAAAAAAAAAAAAAAAGTATTTGAGGTAGGAAATAGTTTCTCTCATTTGCTTTTGAAAACTCTCTTTTTGAGTGAATAGTGAAGTGGCAGTTAAAAATCACCGTGTGTTTCTCTAGATCTTAAATGGCAGTTCCTCAGAAGCATTATAGCCCTCCACAACAGAATTTGACTTGCGATCATAGTTTGTCTTTACATCTGAGTTACCGTTCAAGTCTCCTTCTGTAATAGAAATACATTATTGGCTTCAGCTTCCTGAGTGGAAACTCATGTATGTTTAAAAAATATCGGTTACCAATCACTTTGCCTAAAATCCTCATGCATTACAGTAAGAATTTTTAGGAAAGTTTTATAGCATCAATTCAGAAGTGATAAAAACTAGATAGGTGTTTTAGGCATGCTGTCCATTTTCACTGACTGTTACTCAGTTTCAGTGGCTTGAAGGTGCCTTTGTAAACTCACTCTGACTTCCAGACATTTGGCTTACTAATATCAAATGTTTGCTTTCAGATATCAACATGGCAGGAGAACCAAAACCATACAGACCAAAACCTGGCAACAAGCGGCCACTTTCAGCACTTTACAGGTAAGTGAGATTTCATCTTAACTCACTACAATTTGATTTTTATTAGAAAAATTATGGTAACTAAAAATGTATCTACGAATGTCACTGTGTAGCCCATGAATGAGACAAAGGAATTTTTTTCCATTCAATCTTTGATGTTTGTACGAAATATAATCAAACTCCTGTACACACCGAAAGGTTTTGAATGTGAGTAAAAGAGCAAGTATTGTAGTGTCTGACACGACCTGTATCTGTTGACTCACTCCGGAGCAAAATGTTCTAACTTCTGGAGATAAAGACTGTCCATATAATACCTGTCTTAAAAAGCTAAGAGTAAGCTAAAAAGCTAGGAGTAAGCCCAGCAAACAAAATTCCTGACTGATGCTTAGATGTAATGATCACAATATGCACATAATGCCCCTCTTTTAGTCAGAAACAAACACCAGAGTTTCTGTTTGCTGTAAAAAAATAAACTACTTAGGATATTTAAATGATAATACAGGCATTCAGGAGAACAGATAAAACTAAATCAGTCGGTCCAGAATTTTATTTCTTAGTGAAAATACCTTATGTTTTACTGAGGCCAAAAAGCTGGTATCTGCCTTCTCAGTATTCACATCATGGATGTTATTTGCCAATGCAAGAACAACGCAAAGGAAAGGACTGCAGCTTTAAACTGTAAGAGGTATTACACATAGAGTCTTGTTATACTAAAAAGCTATTTGAAAAGATGTTTGACAGTGACGCTCCTTTAGGACGAAGTAGCAGAATACAATCTCCTTGCACAGGTTTTGTTCCAGGGATGCTAAAGCAACTGGGGTTGGGCTTAGTGATCCTTAGGTTCTGTAAGACCCCACCCAAGTGCTCAGTCTGGAATTCAAGCTTTGAATTTAAATATGTGTTGCATTAAAAAGGTGTTTATTTATTTGTTTATGCACTGGTAATTTAATGTTCCCTCCACACCTCCTTTTTTCTTATTCTGAAGTGAAAATGGAACTGCAGGAGAAGAGAAGCAGACTTTAGGCCTATATAAAAGTGTAATGTTTAATAATATGAAGTACATAATAAAATTATAAATCTATCATTTATTAAACCTACTGACAAAAAAACTGGTGTGGTGATTTGTGAAGTGTTTATTAATGTCTCCACTTCTAGAACTACAATCAATAATTTTCTTTGTTCTTTTTTTTAAACTGAGTGCTATTTCATTTTTTAATCCTTATGCTTTATTGCTTGGCTAAGGCCTCGTATTTGCAGGGTTCGGTGAAATGACTAATAATTCACTGGTTTCTCATTGATTTGTGTGCCAAGGGTGAGAACCAACTTCTAACAAGACTGGACTTCTTCCTCAGGTGTTCAGGAGGGCATTGATATGCCTTTCTCCTATTCCCAAGTGCCTTTTTTCATACAGCTTGTGCAAACCTGAAGAAACTCCCACCTTGTTTTCCAAATCAACCAAGCTTAGTGAAGCATTCCAGATTGTTAGGGGGATTGACAGACAGACATGCACACATGCATTTCTGTTCAATAAATCTCATTTCTCATAAAAGTACTACAGAATTTATGCTCCAGATCCATGAAAGGAGTTATGACTGATTTCTACTGTGGCTGAAATGCAGATAGACTGGCTCTGAGAACAACAGCTTGGTGCTGAAATCAGAGACACTTGAGCAGGACTTTTTCAAGCATGGTCTGGTCTGACAGCTTCAGATGGAAATTCAAGGGTGGGATCTCAGAATGAGACAGGCAGGAGCATTTTAGATCTGAGCCTGTGTGCTAGATAATAGTAATGTGAAGTTATATCATCTAGTTGCCCTTAGCTGAAGTGATGGGAATATTATTTTTGGAGAAGAGAACCCCTGTTTTATTATTACGCTCAACTGCAAGCTGTTAAACTCTGTAGGTCTTACTGGTAGCCATGGTCTACTGTGTCCCTGTGTCAGTATTTCAAAAGATTTTTGAAGATGTTCTGTGGTTTCTGGCATTTATATGCACTTCCATCTCTGAGCTTCTGAATGATTTCTCATACATACTTGTTCTACAACAAGACAGGCATAAGAAAGAGACCTCTGGAAAGTTCTGAGGGAACTTTAAAGAGAAAAAAGATCTTTGATCATATCCTTTCATGGATCTAGTACAGACTATTACTCTAGAAGATTATGGGAAGCTTTTTTTAGCAACTAACAGAAACCTTCATCTGATGGTAATGGAGAACTTTCATTATCTCAGTATCTGTTAGCATATTAATATGGGAGGAGATCAATGGCTTATAAAGTTCTTGACAATGTTGAGAACATTTACTTATTTCAAAACATTGTACTGGGTCTGGCTGGGATGGTGTTAACTTTCTTCATAGGATCCCATATGGTGCTGTGTTTTGGATTTGTTACTAAAACACACCAATGTTTTGGCTGTTGCTAAACAGTGTTTGCACAGCCTCAAGGCTTTCTCTTTTTCCTATTCTGCCTTTCCAATGAATAGGCTGGGGGTGGGCAATACATCTGAGACAGCTGACCCAAACTGGCCAAAGGGATATTCTGTATCATATAACATCATGCTCAGAAATAAAAACTGGGGAGTTTTTTCCTTCCAAAGTAGCTGTTGCTTGGAGACCGCCTGGGCTGCTTGTGGGAGGTGGAAAGTAATTGCCTTTGCATCACTTGTTTTTTCCCCCCCTTCCTTCCCTTATTAAACTGCATTTATCTCAACCCATAAGGGTTTTTCACTTTTGCTCTTCCTATTCTCTCCTTCATCCCGATGGGGGACAACAGTAGGGGAGTGAGATAGTGTCCCTGTGGGTGCTTAGCTGCTGGCCAGGGTCAACACACAAGATGGAGAAGGTTAGGAGGGAAGTGGTTACTTTAGAGTTGATTTTTGACTAACAGAGACATTGGTTAAAAATTTAGTTTTTTAGTTATCACAAAATATTCACTGTGAAAAGGGAGGACTGAGAGCAATAGAAATAGGATAATGGATTTCAGAAAGGACAGACTTCAATGAGCTCAGAGAACTGGTAAGTAGGATCTCTTAGAAAGAAATTTTAGGGACAGAAGGAGTGCAGAAAATCTTGCATCAACTTTTCTTAAGGTAGAACAGAAGAAGCAGAAGTAGAACAAAGGAATACTATGGCAGCATCGAGTTTCTTTAACATCCTGAAAAGTTAAAAGGAATTGTACAAAATGTGGAGTCAAAACCCCATGAGTGGAAGTGAGTAGAAAAGAACAGTAGAGTCATCTGACAGGACGTCAGAAAGGTTAAGGCATATAACAGTATAAAAGGCAACAAAAAGATTGTCATTAGAGTAACTTCCTCTGCTTTTTTATACTGCTGTTACTTGGCGGGAAAGGAGAGCAGATAGTAGATGATACAGAAAAGGCTTCTTTTGCTTTAGCAAAAGAGATAAATTGACCAGCTATTTGAGAAAATCAATTTTAACCAGAGGGCATGGAATAAAAGGATTGGCTAACCAGTTTTTGAATAAATGAATTCAATGGAAATGGTATGATGAGATTCACCCTAGAGTGTTTAAAGGACTAGCTGAATCTATGTGTGGACTGTTAGTGACCGTTTTCAAAAATTTATGGAGGTCACGTAAGGTAGAAAACCAGTGGGCATGGGCAGGTGTTATACCTATTTTTAAGAAGAGGAGGACCCAGAAAATTATCAGGTCAGTCCAGCTTTGATTCTCAGAAATGTACTAGAACAAATTATTAAACAATCAATTTATCAACACCTAGAGGATAATAAAATGGTAAAAAAAAAAAATCCATCATAGAATTATCGGGATCAAATTATGTTGAAGCAATATAATTTCCTTCTCTGACAAGACAGCTGATTTAGTGGATAAAGAGGAAACAGTAGATGTGCTATATGGTCATTTAAACAAGCTTTGATACTTTCCACATGTAGTGGTTTCATAAGCATGTTCAGGAAACTTGGCTAGAAGAAACTATCTTAAGGTAGACATCCAATGAAAAAACAGTGACTGCGTACAACATAGTATTAAGGATAACAACTATTGTTTGTTCGGTCTCCTTTGCTACTGATTTTTAAAGAGTATTTTTGGATATTTGAGACCCATTTAAGAACAGTTTTAAGGTAAGCAAACAGGAGTTCTGCACAGGGTTGCATGATTTTATTTATTGTGAATTGCTTGAGGCTTCAAACTTGTTCAAAGTACTCTGCATCTCTGAAGAGAAACCTGCATCACATTTATAGCTGGATAAGCACATGAGTAATTAATACAGAGCAACCGATATCCTATGATGTGTTATACCCACATAATTTGCTTATGTGTCCAAGTCATTAGATCCACTTTTGCCTGGAATGGTATAGATACCATACCAAGAATACTTGGTCATGCCTCAGTTCAGGATCTACATTCTTTTTTTTAACCTTTATAGTTTTAAAATCTGTGTGGAAATAATCTCATTTAATCTCATCTATGTGATATTTAGCATGAGCCTAAATGTGAGACACATCATTTTTTTTCAGCTATAAGAATAACTAGATGCAAGACAGATAAACGTATATCATTTTTTCTTCAGCTTACACATGCATTCACATATCCAGACTCTCCTTTGTTCTCCAGTTTATTATGCCACTTATACTTCTTCTTTTTACATCTTTTTGATGCTAGCATTCCTGGTACAGTTCATAGAAAAAAAGGCCACAATTAAAAGTGATACAGAGAATTTAAAAGACTTCATGGACCAAATGAAGTCAGCAAAAAGCTTTGCCATTCACTGGACTAGAATTTACTTCCACTTCTTCTTCTGTCTTAAAATTAATTTAATACCCTAATTCCTACCAGCTAAAGATCCCATTGATCCCAACCCTTGACTGCTGCAGAGCAAGCTTGCACTGCTTGGAATAATCCCATGGGACACTGTCCCAGAGAGAAGAGGGGGCCAGGAGAGCCAGCTGATTTCCAAAGATCACCTCCTTCAAGTTCAAGAATGGTTCATCCTGATGAACAACAAATCAAGCAAAGGTAGCAGGTGGCCTGCACAGATGAAAAA